CGACGACGACGACGACGACGACGACGACGAGAGAGAGAGAGAGAGAGAGAGAGAGAGAGAGAGAGAGAGAGAGAGAGAGAGAGAAAGAGAAGGTTAGACAAAGCTCAAAATGTAAATTCCACCAGAAGTAAAGATCCCACACAATAAGAAAGGGCAAATACAAAGCACTCACCAAATCTCATCAAAAACAAAACCCGAGACGCAAAAACGCATCCGTCAGGCGCAGCCTCATCAACGTCGGTGCCGTGGTCTGCGTAAAAGGCCTGGCCAGTCATCCAGGCCAAAGCCGCGTGCCTCAGCATGCGCGGCGTCGTAGCTTCGTAGATGTGGTGTCTCCCTCTTTGCGAGGCACACCATGAACGCCTCGTCACTCCCGCGGCGGCTCGAGGAAGGCTTACAGAGCGTCGAACGCACAAACCACCTCTTAAATTCCCTGTACAGCTCCTCATACGCTGTTGGGCTACCAAGGACCTTGCAAACAAAGTTCCCGCCCGTTTTCAACTGACTAATGGCGAAGGCCAACGCCTTCATGTTTAACTCCACCTGCTTCTGTCGATCGTCGGTGCCGCCAGAGCCGCGGTTGAGACACATGTCTGACAGCACTACATCCACCACTCCACTGGCTTGAACGTGTGCCATTCGCGAGAGAAGTTCCTGCTGAACCGCCGTATCAGTGAGGTCGCCCTGAATGCACACCGCGCCTGTCACTGAGGGGGATACGTGCAGCAGATCCACCCCAAAGAGAGCACAACGATCTCCGCAGCGCTCACGTGCCACTTGGAGCCAGCCGCCCGGACTGCAGCCTATGTCCACCACAACGCGTGTGCGCCGGTGAACGAAGAGACCAAATTTGTCGTCAATGTCTATTAATTTAAAGGCACTACGGGCGACATACCCGCGTCGACGAGCCTCCAAAACGAAGGGATCGCGAGCCTGCCTCTCCATCCACTGCCACCCGCCTTGGCGCAAGCATTTTAATGTCACAAGGAGCATAACAAATCCCACGTGTTTCTCTTCTGTCAGTGTTTGTTCTCCCTGTGTTTACCCGCGGCCGTCGTGCACTCCGGCGAATGTCTCTTTGTCTCTCTCCCTCTGTGCGTGTGTGTGTGTGTGTGTGCGTGGGTGGGTGGGTGGGTGGGATGACCGCGTTGAGGGCGGGTTCGGCTCACCCCACCCCGCACAGACGCTGCAAAGGGGTAAATCACACGCCCCGCTGCACACAGATGGGGGACAAGAAAACGAAAGAAGAGATGGAGGGGGTTTCATGTACAGTGATAGCAAACAACACCAGCGTACGCCACTGTGTGGTTTAGCAGACTCCTTTCCACCAGTTTGACCCGCGCGCATGCGCCAGAAGGGGCGTTGCGAACGCTAAAAACCCCTTCAACTTCTCACCAAAGGAACCACAACAACAAGATGAGCAAAACAAACATAATGTACAAACAAACAATAAAGACTGTATCGATTGACAAAGACGAACATACCACCGCAAATAGAGCACGGCATCGATACCATCATGCCTCACAGCACGCGCTGCATACCCCAAATGACCTTCAACTCCGTGGGCAATCCCCCGTACGTCATGGTAAGTTCCTCCCCCTTCTCCATCTCCTGCAAGAAGCGCAGGCAAATGACAGGCTCATGGGCTGTGGGGGTATGCTCTGGAAGAACCATCAGCGCCACATATTCTCATGCTCATTGTGGTTGCACATATCAATCATAGGGCAGAAAAACGCGATGGGTTCCTTCACAAAATTTTTATCGTCCTCCGGCCCAATGATCTCAAAGACGTTTTCAAAAGGCGTCTCACTAAACGCATGCCGCAGCGTCGAGCAGTGGTCAGTCGGGGCCATGCGGCTGAATATCATCGACAACGACCACTGAAGCAGAGGGCGCACTTCGACTTGTATCACGTTGAAGTGTAAGGCTAGCGCCGATTGACACACCCGACACATCTCCGCACTCTCTAGCGCACCACTCAAGTTGCTCGTGAGCTGCTCAAAATCCCCTTCCTTGGCGGGGCATCAAATTCAAGTACTTGAGTGCCTGATTCCCCTCATTCACGCTGACGTGAAGAATAAGGTAGGACATGTAGGCGGCAAGCAGGAATTGATTGCATCTAATAATAGATCGGTCTGCCACACGTTTGTTTTCAATAAATGGACACCGAAGAAAGTACATCTCCCTCTCCTGTGGCGGAAGTAACTCAAAAAAAGCGTTTGTCCCTCAGTGGCGTCCCAGGGTGAAGACACGCACGTACAGAGAGCATCACCACATTTTCATCCTTCTTGATATCCTTATTAGCAATAAGGCTAACGTAGTCCGCTACGCGCGGTGGTGCCTATGCGACACAGGCCCCGAGTGAGCACCTGATGGGCTCGGCAGTACTCCACAAATTACTTTGCCTGCTCCTGAGGAGACAGAAAAAGGCGCAGAAGGTGCCTATTTTCATACACCGGCACATACGTCTACCCAGTCGCCTGCTGCACGGACTGCCCGCGCGTCCGCCCCTCGTTCCCTGCGCCACACACAAATCCCTCGGCATCGGGGCAGCAAACCCCCACACTAAAACGGAGAAGGCAAAGCAAAAGAAAAATAATACAAAAATGAGAGAAAGCGTAATGGCAAAGCACGCAGACAAAAACCAAGCAAACACAAGGCGCCATCGCCGTCCGACCCACACCACCCTCCGTCCCCCTTCGTGGCGGAGGGTGGACATCGTCAGCAGAGGGAGGAATAGGGAAGCATCACAATGGGGTGAGATCGCCAACGTTAGCTGCACTCACCACGAAGTAACAAACATCCCCAAATGAAGTTAGGTAATACTCCGCTGAGAGGTGCAAAGAGCGCTAAAACAAAAAGAGAAGAAAAAGAAGCATATAATAATAAACAAACAGACGTAATCAAACAAATAAAAAAAAAGAGCAGAAATATGTGTGTTCTACTTTTTTTTTTTTTATTTGTCAGCAACGTTGGCTTTTCGCGCCGCCATCGCCTGCTGGTTCAGGACAGCCAAATGCGCCGGCGTGACATTTAGATGCTCAAGGTCAAGTTTTTCCCGCAGTGACACGGGAATCTTTTCCCGCTCCACACCGGCATCGTAGTTCTCCTGCAGCCTGGCAATGCGTTGGGGGTCTGTGGTGAACATGGGCGGAAACATGGGCATGGCTGGGCAGCTGCGCGGTTAAATGACACGACTACCAAAAAACAGTTTTGTTTATTATTATTCCTCTAATTGCCTGCACGTGTGACCGTTTGCGAGCTTCTCTGGGAAATCAAAAAGAAAAAAAAAGGAAGACACAGTGGCACCACACGTGCAGGGAGGCGGCAGCGAGTTCAGTGAAGCACACACACATTGCATGCATGCATGCATAAACAAGACACACAGCCCGCCTCCTTGGGCCTCGTCCTGCCAACCTGCCAATCGCTTAGTACAAGTACGGGATAACAACCCTGCGCCGCAGTGCCTTGTAGGCGCTCCCAAAGTGTTTCTCGTACCACGCATGGTGCGATCGACCGCGAGGAAGCAGGTTTGCCATCACGTATAGGAAAAAACTACACGCCGCCAGCCCCGCCTCCGCTTTACTCGCGGCGGTGGTTGACCACACGACGAGGGTATAGCCGCACCACTCCACGATTTCCCCAAAGAAGTTTGCGCAGCTCACGTATTTAAAGAGCCCTCCATGTGGAATCTTGCGCGTGCCCTTCGGCGGCTTCGCCTTCAGCCGCAAAAGACCGTAGTCAGAGCACACGTTCACCCACATCCCCGCGAAGAAGACGACACTGCCAACAAAAAGCAGCGTCATATGAATCTTGGAGTCGAGCGGGAAACGAGACACCGCGGGCCCGTCACGGATGTTTGCCAGCAGTTGCAAACGACCGTTGAAGAGACAGTACAAAGTGGCACAGAGCATGACTTCTATTGGCACTGGCGTCCCTTCGCGTATGAGCAGCGGGTAGAGGAGGCTGCGGTAGACGTAATGAATGACAAAAAGCAGAAGCCCCACGTGAAGCGACGCAAGTCCGTCGGCAACCACATGCGCCGCCTCCCCTAGCGGATCGTCAAACGCAAGACGCATCCACTGACCGCAGCCGCCCCCCAACGAGTGGCACGGGTACTCCACAAGAAGGTAATAAATTACATTCAACAGCGTAGGGCACTCCTGCAACGCCCAAGAGAGGGGGGCGGGCACCGCAACATGCACCTGTGAGCTTTCCGCGTAACGACCATAGGGAGCCACGGTGACGAAGCGCAACACGAGATACGTGGTGGCAGCCAGCGCGAGATGGAGGTGGCTTGCGGATACAACCACCGCTGCGCTTCCCAGCGGCATCACGTACTGCTGAAGCAGAGCTATGCACACCGTCGTGGCAAGGACACTCAGTGCCCCCACCAACAGCACCTTCCATGTGGTTGCAGAGCTACCGCAGGATCGCTCTGTCATGTGTTGAGCCTCTGCGTGTGCGACTGCTGACTAAGATGCGGGGAGAAGGGATGCGGCGTCGGCGGCGCGGAGGCTTCAGCGTGCCGACAAGGTGTGGTTGACAGGCCACACGAAGCAGCGCGGCATAAATGGCGATGGCAACAACTGTAATGCCGGGGTGAGGCAAAACCATGAGAAGAAAACACACAAACAAACCACGCTCGTAGGAGTATAGATATCTCGCGACAGCCTTTATATAGAGAGGCAAACGTATGCATGTTTGTGCATTGATGCATGTGGCGGGGCTGTACTCCCATCACCGGCATGGTCTGCGTAAAAAAACAAAATAAAATAAATTTAAAAAAAAAAACAACAACAAAAACACGCATACTACAAACAACAACAAACCCTCCTCCCTCGTAATCCGCTACGCAGCAGCAAAATGTAACCCCCTCCCCCCTCCCAAACAAACAGACAGAAACAAAAACAATTGATGGAATGTTGGCAACTGCAGACGGCTGCCCCACTCACGCAAAAATAACAAAAACAACAACAACAACGGCAAGTACATGGAAGGAAGATATACACACGTAGGTGGAGACGACGCATAGGGCGAGTGAGCATGGCATGAACACACACACAGACACACCGATGCCTACAGAACACTAACCCACCCCCCGTTCTGTCGCTACGGATGACGTACTACTCGCCAGTTTCCTCTTCACTAATTTTGCACGCCATTTCTTTTTTTTTTTTTTATTATTGCCTGGAAAACAAACTATGCGACAAATTCTGCTTTGCGTCACTCCCTAAAACAATCCCAACCACTTGCCTCCTTTCATTGGGGAGTCTTTTAAATTGTAGTCATCTACCTTCTTGTTCTTCATGGCAGGCCCGTAACTTTCCATAGAGTTCTGAAAGAGAAACTTAAGCTTCGCAGCTGAGACATTTAGATGCTCAAGGTCAAGTTTTTCACGCAGTGACACGGGAATCTTTTCCCGCTCCACCCCGGCATCGTAGTTCTCCTCCAGCCTGGCAATGCGTTGGGGGTCTGTGGTGAACATGGGCGGAAACATGGGCATGGCTGAGCAGCTGCGCGGTTAAATGACAGTGAAGCCGTACGCTAACTGTGCTTTCCACCGTGGGCATGCGGGAAGAGAAAGGCATGAAATAAGTGAGAGAATGGGGAAGAGAGAAAGGCGGGTAGGGGAGACAACAGCGCATCTGGCAGATTGCCACTGGGAGAGACAAGGGGACACAGATGGACAGACAAGATCCATTGAGCGTCGAGAACACGCAACGCGCACATATATATTCTCCTCTGTTTGCCTGTTTGTACACGTACACACATTCTCTTTCTCTCTCTATGCGGTGAGGCCACTTCGTTGCACCCTCTGCCATCCAAACCACCTCCATGGCGATGCCCAACAAAGGGCGAGTAGCCCGTTCCCTCTCCCGCCACACATCTGTAAAGAAAGAAAAGGAAGGCTCCTTGAAACATTACCCTCTTTTTCTCCACCAGTACACACACACACACACACACACACACAAA